ACCAAACATGACCAAATTTATTGTCTTTGTGGCATTAACGCGAGTCCAACCTGAAATTATACGTCAATATTACAAACAAAAAGGTATATCAACAACCTCTTCTGTTTGTAAAAAAATAAATATACAAAACTACCTACAGGCTAAAGTCTTTTTAAATATTTATCATAGTCAGAAGCAGGAAGAAGCCAATCTTTCATGACCAAGAGAACCAGAAATATTCTAGATCTATAAGACCCATAAAATCTTACAGCACAGCAGAATCAAAAATTCATAAATTGGCAGCTATGTACATAAGGAGTCACTTTCCATAAAATAAAAAAAAATATATAAAAAAATCAATATATATAATATCCTACTGACCACACACAGCCCACCAGGGGCCACAGTTCCCTCCTAACTGGAGACCAAATAGCCATGTTATTGTTGGCATGGTTATTCTTCTCTCTCATGCTTCAAATATTAGCATAAGATTTTGCTCAGTCCTACTCTTAGACCCTCGCACAGGGAAACTCACAGTCAGAGCTAACTGGGGAAAAGGTAGTCCAGCTACTGAGCTCAATTAGCATCAGATGGTTTGCCAAAGCTGCAGCAGGTAGCTTCTCAAGCAGCAATACGTTGTCTTTAATCTGACGCCAAGTACTGGTTTGACGCCACAAACTATCATCTGTTGGACTTTGGGGTCTCCCAAAGCAGGTTATTGACTTTGGCCTCCCTCAATTTTATTCAAAGAATATAAAACACTGGATTTTCAAATAAAGTATAGTCTTCATGAACAGGTCTCTGATCTTTAAAGAGTTACAGAGCAGATCTTTGACCATTGTCTTCTCAGTCCAGTCTCTGCACCAGGTGTCAAAAATATTGTTAATAAGTTTTTTGTAGTCTATAGACTATAGGTAAGAATTTGGAATATTTTGGTGTAGGCAGCCATCAACAACCAGCCAATAGAACTAGCAAAATTACAAAAGGACGGAAAATGCTGGTCCAATTTCTCTAACAGATAGACACGTTTTTTTCTTAATTTCTGCTTCAGAGTTTTGGCAGTTAATATCATAACGACAGCAAAATATAACTGTCTGGAAGCAAAAAAGAGGCTCTGTAATGGTTTAGGTCTGCATTTCAGCTACCGACAACCGTACATGTTAAGACCAATCGTGCAGTGCAATCTGTGGAGTGCCTACTTAACAAGAGCTCTGAACTCTGAGCAACTCTGCAAATGCCATTAAAATATACTCAATGTAACACTGTCAGTGCTTGACTTCCCCACAGAATCTGAACCGCAACATAAACGAATCTGTCTGGACTAGGGAGTAGGTCAAGAAGAAACCAACATTAAAAGATCGACGTTGGAGAAAAAAGTACCTCAGAATACCTCTCCAAGGTAGCTTGGAAAAGTATTCATACGGATAACACTGAAAGAAATTGCGAAACATCCTGCGGAAAAAACATGTACATGTTATCTGGAAAATTGATCAGCGTCAGTAAATATGAATATGCCAATTGTATTAGGAATATAATAGCTCTGTTGTTTTCTGTCAAGAGAATATTTATGCAAGTAAAAATAAGTTTTACTAAAATGATTCAGCTCTTGTCCCGTTTCCTGGGTAGACCATTGCTAGGGTTGGCCAGTGCAGACCGCTGTATATCTAATAATTGTGACAAATTGACATCTGGGAAGGACAATTCTTCTCTCCGTTCACGTCATTTGGTGTTGCAGTTGGTGTTTTGCAGTCTAGATCGAAACATCTGTTTTCTGTCCGTATTCAAGTATATTCCAGGAGATAATACTGAGTCAAAGGTGTCACCCTCATGTCAAAATACTTTTTGGGTGCCGTCCATATACCCGAGACTGGTTGTAAAGATGTCATTCAGGCTAACAACCAGCATGTGGGAGAAGGAGTGAGATTCCACTCTTTTTATATCCAGTCTTTAATCCCAGAACCTCCTTAAAAAAATGACACGTTCGGCCAATGAAATCCCAAAATAGCCATTTTTCTCCATATGCGTTTCCTCATCTCTCCCTGTGGTCCACACTGGACAGGTCCTGAAACGTAGATCCAACCTATTTAGTGGTTCAGGAAGTGATTGTGACACCACTGTATTTTAGTCACTCTCCACACTGGGGTAAAGTCTGAAGACTTTGTAAATCCACTCAGAGTAAAAGGCAACGTTGACGAAAAGCGCAGGCTGTGACGACGCACATTTTGTCCGTTGGATGCTGACGCCGACGATGACTCTACGCTCATGTTCCTGGCAGACCAATGGGCCACCATTATCTTTCTGCAAGGAAAGGGTAAAGGTTTACATCAGACACACCATACACCACAGGACTTATACTAAATGTAAAGCTGATGCAAAACACTCCAAATCTGGTGGCAATCAGGTGTTAGCAGATTACGACCCAACTGGTACGTTTGTTCATGCTTTAAACATTTGCGTTTGCAACGGTTTGCGCCAGATTTTGAAACATTGGTTGATATAGCTCATACATATTCATACGGCCCAGATTAGTGTGTGATCTGCAGTCTTTCAGTTGGTACACAGAAACCTGCTTAATCCAGTCTGTTAGTGCAGATTAGTGTGTGATCTGCAGTCTTTCGGTTGGTACACAAAACCCTGCTTATTCCTGTCCGTTAGTGTTTTCCAAATTTGTCTGTAGAGACTATAATCAAATTAATATTTAGGGTTGTTTGTTTATTCATAAATCCAACTTTTACTGAAGACATTTAGAATGATTTCTTGAATAAAAAGCAGTCTTGATAAATTGACATATTTTGCACCTTGATCATGTACTTTTCTGCCACATCTGCACAACACTACAGTTCCTCAACCAACTGTTTAATAATAGACACCATTTTGAAATCCTTACATCACATACACCTTCTCCTCTCTTGCCGCCGGCACATATTCGGCTTTCCCCAGCTTTGCCTTTAATCCGTGAGCACATGTTGTTGTCAACCATGGGCATGATTACAGTGTTGAGAGTCTGATCGTGTCCTGTATCTAAACAGAGAAATAAAACAGGCAGCACAGACGTTAATGTTAGTCACAGAAAGCAATTTTGTCTGAATTATTATCATTGGCATGTTAATGGAAGACGGCAGTACTTTTAGTTTCACCCCATCCATACATGGAGCAGTTGGTGCCTTCAGGGATGTGACAGTCTTTCACTGGCAGATGAATCGTAAAGGCCCCCTCTGACACGGGCGCGGCACTACAAAAAAAAACAAAAAACAGAGTCAAACAGCGCCTCCAGCAGTGTAATCACATCAACCACTGGAAACAGGCACATCAAAACTTTTACAACAAGAACAGACTTTAAATCATTACATATTCGAGAGAGAAGTGTACCTCCTGAACATGAAAATAAAAATGTATCCAAAACATGTCTAAAAAAAAAATACCAAAAAGGCAAAAACACTAAAGTACATACTTTAGCATAAAACAGAGAAGAGCGACTGCTTAACAAGAAAGAGCTGAAATATACAAACAACTTAGCTAATTTATACAAAAAATGAGGCAAAAGATGTAACGTTGGTCCTATAAGTACTTAAGAGAAGAGAAGGAAATGGCCAAGAATAGCTCCAAGCTAACTGCTAAACAGCTTAAATAGCAAAAAGTTACCAAGTTAGAAAGTCTGTTTCACTAAATTATCACTTTTACCCAGAAAAACCATTCTCACTACCCCACAAATTTTGCCCAAATGTAATATGTAAAAACATATTACATTTGTCAACACCAGCAATAGAGACATGCCAGTTTGAATTAGCATGTTAGCATCCCTAGCTAAAACATAGATGGATTTTAATGCTTCTTGCCAAAGAAAGCAATGAAAGCAGAAGAAAAGAAAACATCCTAAAAATTGCAAAATTACACGCTACAAGTTAGCCAAAAAATGTCAATAGCTTATATAAAAAATAGCTTAAAAAATGTATTTTCTTAATTTATTTTCCCAAATGTTGCCATTTTGAAAAACAGATAAAAAGCTAGTTTGTTGCAACTCAGCAGAGATACAAAAATTACCAAAATACCTATACACACAAATATATACTTGAAAAACACAAGGGGGCAAAAAAGTTAGTCAAATATACCAAAAAATCCCAAAATTAGGACCGGAAATATGTCTTTAAAAAAAAACCCAACAAGATCTGTCTAGGGGCCTTTGAAATATATTTCAAAAAAAAAGGACGAAGACTAAGCCTCATGAAAAATATAAAATATAAAATTCAACAAATATGATTTGCTTCTGGGAGTCCGGAGGTTAGAGAACTGATCTGGAGGCAGATGTCTGTGTGGAAAACACAGAATGTTCTAATGAACTAATAAAGTAATTACAGCAATATTAAAACGTGGTGTTGCCATTTGTCTTGTTTTCAGTGAACACGTCACTGTAAATGAGCTTTGTACTGACCATAAATTGGAAACAACAAGGTCATGTTGAAACAGTTAAAAACTTTTTTTTGAACACATTTATTTTTTCATTTCTGCACTTTGACTGATTTAAATACAATTTAATTTTTTGCAAACTCTGGGCCTCAGCATGAGTCAGTGTGCCACGGAGATGGAATCAATCAAAGAAAATCAACACAATAACATTGTGAAAATCAACACAGTCCTGACCGTGGTGGGGAAGATGAAAATCAATCCCTCATGCACAGCATGGCACATGTTGTTTCCTAATATTAAAATCCCCACCGTCTGTGGAAACGTCTGAACACTTACTCTGCCAGCTTCAACATCACCAGGTTGGATCCTTCGGGGCCGCATATCAGGCGGGAGATGCGTAATCTCGGGTGGTTTGAGGACTCGTTGAGGTGCTTGAGACCGACCTGGACGCTGTAATCCCTGAGATCTGGAACACTGAGGACCACAAGGAGCGGTTTAGGAAGGATTTTCAAGGAGCTTTGTTACATTATCCCCCCAAAAAACCCAGGACAAATTCCAAACCTTTAATGCAAAAACCCTACTGCCCTACTGCAGTACACAGAGCATATCTCAAAGTTAAAGCCAAAAGCCGCTGATCTGCACCATATGTCATCCATCTACTACTGTGCATTACAGCAGAGATAAAGAGGTTTTTACCAAAGCCTCTGCTGCAGATGACAGAGACACAACATGGAGAGAACATAAATGTGTCTGACAACTGCTAACATTTGACATGTCCGGTCCAAGCTAGCCCAGGTCAATGAACAGGATCTGGGCCGCCATCCTCACTTTAAGCAGTCTGTTTGAGAGGTTTGTCTCACGTCAGGTTGCCAACTTTTTCTTCAGGTTTGCCACTTTCCTCCCCATTCATTAGCTAACTTTAGTCCCACTTTAAGCTAACTCACAGACCTCTTTATTTACACCGCCAAATGCATTCACTATTTGAATAAGGTTATTTTTGCTACACTTCTAGCCAAACATGAATGATTTTTATTGCCATTTTTTCATTGAACCTTTAGTTAACTATTCTACATTGTTGTATTGTATGCTTGCATTATATGGTATAATGCTAACTTGACACAATTTTTTCAAATCAATCAAATCGATCGTATGTATTACTTAGACTTATTTCACGCACTAACACAAACAGTAAGACAGTGATTTGGAAAGGAAGCCACAGTGTGTTTACCAGGAAGTGAAGCACTGTTGGTCTGTTAAAACCCAGTCTTCTCTGATCAGTGAGCCTCCACACAAATGAACCCTCCTAAAAAAAACAAATAGAAAAGTCACCTTTATATACATACATGACACCAAAGAGTAAGAAAAAACAAACAAACAAGCGTTAATCAGACTTACTCTCTCTGGATGCTCACAACCCAACTGCCATCTGCACCTCTCACTTGATGCCCCCCAACTATCCTGGTGCTAATGTGCACAAAGCATGAAATCTTCGGTCTGGGTTGAGCTGAAAGAGAAGACATTTTTTTAAGACAGTGAGTTAGATGGACATTTTGTTTGAATTTCAAGCAAAGAACATTGAGTAAGACTTCAAAAGTGAACCATAAAATGCGATTGAATTAGTCAGGTAGGCAAAAGCAGAAGGTTTCCATATCTTGTGGCAACAGGAAAAAAGGTGGAGTTACAGAAATAAAAAAAAAAAGAGGAACGGGGAGCACCACACTATGACTTACTTTGGTTGAGTTGAGCTACTGTAGATGATTCACCTGATAAACAAGAAAGAAAAAAAAAAACATGTTAAGACAGCAGTGGGAATAAATCAGACCCTAAATTTACACAAACAACAAAGAAAAACCCTCAAACCTCAAAGACACATTTCATCACTTTGTTAAGAAATGGCTTTAAAAGGTCAAAATCTGAACTATTGGGGACAATATCAGTTAGCAACCGCAGGGGGAAAAAAAAAAGGACCTCAAAACTTCACTCAGTACATGTTTTAGATTACGGCAATTACTGCGCAGCCATTCAAAAGAGGCTCTTCAATGGAGCCCGATTAAAACCAGCCATCTTCGCAAATAAAAGGATGTCAGCGCAGACCTGCATCTGTTTGCCGTTTGAGCAAATGCGAGCAAATATCATGTTTTCCCTGCCAGTTGGACCCAACCACAGCTAACACATTACGTAAGCCACCAACCGAGCTGTGTAAAACAATAACGGTGCCGCGGAGGGAGTCGACAATAGCCGCTAAGCCTTATGAGATTTTATTGTACATCAGCACTGTCTCTTCCCATACACTCAGCACTGATGTATGATCCTGTGTTGTGCAGTCCAATATGTCCTATACATGGGACATTAAAGGAGTCATGGCAGCAGATCAGTACCACATTGGCCCGGGCCCAATGTCCACCCACTGTGAAAATATTAGGAGCTCGTAGGACTCACTCTCTTTGGCTTTAAGCTCTTGATGCACAGATTCGGCAGACTTTGCCAACGTGAATTACCTAAAGTTCATCGCACGTGGCTCTACAAACAGAACAACAATGTAACGGTGAAAAAAAAAAATACTAGTCAAGACTAACATTTGAAATACTACAATAATATATCTTCTTTTCATCTACATAACAGTGACAGGCAGAACAAATCAATACTCTACACTAGGTGGCAGCAGATGGTCAAAAAAACAATAAAAAGAGAGACCGTTAAAGAACTTTGTGTCTTTCTTCAATACCTGTGAGTATATCAGGGTTGTGTTCAACTAAACAGGCCAGGGTTTAATACTGAGTGAGTAAATAATTTGAATGCAGAAGACCATTATATTGCAATACATATGAGATTTATCTAATGTGAAATATGTGCCTTGGGTCAAAAAGGTTGGGGAACAGTGAGAACAACAGTGAGAGGAAAAAGACATACGACTGTGGGGAGACACAGGAGAACACAGCTCTGAAAGTCCTACATTTTAGGACATATCCTGAACTGAAGCGTCTCATTACCAGACATTTTGAGTGGCTAACCAACAGAATATAAAACAATGAATGTTTTTCCTTCCTCAACACCTATTTCGATTTAAACATACTCGGAGTCTGAAGTTTGTAGCAAACAAACAGGTATTGGTCAGTCCGTGCAGAGTTACAGTACACTGACATATTCACTGATAGTTTTTCCATTTCTGCTTTGAGTGAGACATGTGTCGGGAACTGCTAGCACTTCTAGACACCACGTCTCCAGACACACAAAAGATGCATTGTGGGTTGCATGTTGCTAGGTTCCAAAGAGTATTGCGTTCTTGATCTACCATTTGAAGGAATTTCTGACTGCTTGCCAATTGATTACTGATTACTTGCTATTCACTCCATGTTTCTGAATTGACCAATGAGGAAGTGTCTGGGTTGCATCTGGCCTATGGGTCCCTGTCTGTCCTTATCTGTGCTCTGTTCCCTAGGGGAACAGAGCACAGATGGGACAGGGACATACAATTACAAAGGACCAAACTCAGCAAATCTCCCACATGTTTTGGTTTCTTCAAAGTGACAGTCATGTGTGTTAAGTGGTGTCTCACTTTTAATTATACCATGACCCCTTGCTGCTACTCACACTCAGTTATTTAGCAGCTGATGGCTATTATTTTGGTGAGGGCTGAAGGGTAGTGGGGGAAGACCAAGAGTCAAGACTGATCTTGAAGAACTACTTTGAGACCTAAACATGGGAATTTGCTTTGATGTTTAGACACAGTAATTTGTTTACCATTTACCGGGAGATTTGTTTTCTTTTCCAGACGTCCTGGTTTACCTGGCCTACTGTCAATTGACCTAGTAAAAATGTCACATAAACAGTGAAACAACGCAGACTGACCCGGGACCCAGTGGATACCCGTCCTCTGCCAACGACACTGGTATTTAAAACAATTAAAACCATTGAATCAAAAGCCTGTTCCACCTGTCTGGATGGTGCAAACAAAATGGATCCAGTTGTGAGTGCAGCACTGATTAAAAGACACACATCCTGTGTTTTGGATTTAAATATCTCAGTGGAAATTAAGCACACACCAGGAAACCTGGTTTTAACAACACGTCCAAACAACATTTTATATATGCTGCAGTCTGTTTTTCTTTCAACCAAACAAACACACAGTAATTTCCACAAGACGTTTCCACCTTCACATTCAGGAAAGATGTCTTTGTTCCTTTTGACAGAAACAATTCAAAATGGATGACAATATTGTAAAAAGAAAATACTTTAAAACACATGTTATCTTTAAGTTTTAGGCAGTGTAGCAGAAGGAATGTTCTGAACCCACTTCAAGAACAACCAGTGACTCCTCTTGCACTCAAATGATTTAAAAGCAACATAAGTAGCATGAACTAAAACTTTGGGAACATTTGAAGTAACACCATAAGGCAAAAAGAACAATGTTCTATTTAGTAAACTAAAAACATTTCAACTCTACCTGGAATGGCATAAAACAAAAGCACAGAGCAGTAAATATGGGTAGCATTAGCATTAGCCGCTAACCATTTGCTCCACTACAGATTTCCAAGGTGTTGATTCTACCTCAAAATGAGTCCTGGGTATTTTGGAACATGTTTTAAATATGCGACTTTAGTCTCTGTCACCACTTACTTCGTTACCTCACGAGACGAATGAAGGGCATTACAGTTTAGACCCAAGTGTAGCATTAGCAGCATATGGTATGGTTTTAGCCTGGCTAAAACACCTAACGCTGTCCTGAAACGACATTATCGTGTGTGTTCTGCCTTTAAAAAAGACCTATTATGTACAGACTATTAATACATGACGTTAATAGATTTGGCAGCAGCTTATATGACAGCCTAATAAAAAAATACTGTTATGGAGACGTATGTAGACAGATGTAAATGAGTTGATTACAATCTGATGCTTGTAGATTGAAATTCAAGCAGCGGTTTAATCAAATGTCTGTCGCTGTTTTTTTTTTTTATTCCACTAAACCGTGCATGTAAACATACTGACATTGACACTGGCAGTACGAGCTGCTTTGCTAAGAAAAATACTATGTGCTAACAGTCTGCTAATGTTTATTGCTAGCATTCCCCCGGATTTATGTGACGTTACACATTCACGGAGACATTTAAGGTTATTGGAGCCACCACTCACAGCGCTTCAGTTTGCAGTAGTCCCAGGCCAAGCGACTGTTTGGGTTGGTGTAGCACCAGGGGCCGTGCTTGTCCCGGTCTGGGTTCCGGCAGTAGTTCTTCTCCAGCCCTACATGGGATACTGTGGAGTGAGAATCCTCACTGTAAAACACATAAATATACAGATTTTCATTTTGCGTTTGTGATGTTACACACACAATCCTTCAGTTCTGTCACTGCCTCAAAACTCTGGCTTTTCTACAGTGCAATGAATCTGTCTGTGCTGAGCCTATCAGCAGAAGGAAACGCAAATTTCTTGGCAAGTTCTCATGGGAGTATGAAGGTATGTGCTCTAAGCGTTTAGCAGCAGCTCAAACCTGTAGGAGCCTCATTCTCAGACAACAAACTCACATTGGGCTTTGGCTTTCTTTGGAGCGTTGAGCTAAATTGTTACTAAAGTTCACAGAGTTATCCACAGAAAGTCGGGCTGGGCTGCATTCAACAATTTGTCAGGAGGTGAAGATGAATCCTCTTCCCGGGAGAATGTTAAACAAGCTGTGGCTCTCTGCCGTGTTTTCCTGGGATAACCCTTAACCTTGAGCAGGACAGACTCGCAGGCTGCAGTCCACGCCAGGGAGCTGATTGGCTTTGATCTAGTCTCCAAAGAAAGCACTTCCTGGGGTCATGGGTCAGTTCTGGAACATGTCTGTTCTGTCTGTGCCATTTTGGCTTTTAAAATTCCTATAAATTAACTAATTTCAAGTGGATGATTTCAGTAAAAAAAAAACAACAAAACAACCCGCTGACTATTCTCAGATTTGTTATTGTTTTTTTCTTCAAATTTTATATAAATCTGACTTTTTCAATCAAGCATAGCAGTTTATTGAGCAGAACTTGAAGTACATGATGATTTTCTTTTACAAAAAAAGCCAGAATTCTAACTTTTTACATTGTGAAAAAAATAAAAATAAAAATATGTTAATTATTTTTCATATGGCTGTAGCCAAATTTGTAATAAAAACTGAAATTCTTACATCAACCTCAAGAGTTTAGCTTTTTTTTAATATATAATATTTTTAAATATATAGAATATATTAATATTAATATAACACTAATAATTTAATATAATATTAATATTTAAAATACACTATATTAATATTATTTTTAATATATTGTGACAGTTTTCCCCTCAGAAATTCAAACGGTGTAATCTTAGTTCAATTCCCTATTCTGAGAAGATACCAATGTTGATAAAACAATCTTGGAGTTCTCAGAAATGTGGCGCCAATTTGCCTCTGTAGTCTACTTGTCTGTAGGATGAAAAATAATTGGAACACATTTTGACCCCAGAGGAACCCTAGATTTCCTCTGGCCGTTTGTTTTTATTGCTTAGCTTCATTTAAATGAGAGGGATCGTCAACAAACACATAGCAACTGAGCCGGAGAAACAAGTTGGCCTCCAAAGTTTCAGGGCCGAAATCCGTTTTAGCGTGAGAGAAATTTTTCATGAGCAGATGAAATGAGCTTGTTACCTGTTTATGTGAAGTGACCAGTTTGCACAGGGAATCCCGGAGCGAGTTATGGACAGCGTGCCTCTGTACGTCTCTCCTTTGTCTTCGTAACACTCTAAAGAGAAAACAGGAATTGAGTTATTTTCGACCACCGTGCACAATATTCCCGGGAGGGTGATGATTTACTGAATCCATCAACTTCCCAAACACCTACATGAAGAACATGAGTGGGCACACTAAAATATGCAGACAAGAAGGGATTTTGGACGTGTGTTTCGCCTTGTGGTTTGGATCGATCTGACGTCGAGGGGCCCTGCCTAACTGGTAGTTCTCAAGTGTAATAGAAATTTAAACCAGACTATGACATTTCTGAAAACAGGATCAGAGGACGGCCAACAGTTACTGACAGGCCACTTTATGACATGTGTGGTCTTTTGAAATATAAAGCAGGGAATTATGGGATATGACAGACTCCGACTATTGACAAAAGTCTGGCGTTTTGATCTTCTGTGATCCAGAATTCATTGACTTCGCTACCCTGCCAAATGGTCCAGTCCTGTGGGAAAAATATAGAAAGTGTCTGTGTAATTCACTCTGCGAAAACATCAAATGCTCCTTTCAAGCACCTGTAGTCCAACATTTCAATCACAGAATTTCACCAACTGACTTGCATGGTAATTTATAGATTATTCGCCACGCTCTTGAGGTTTGGCACCTAGAAAGGGCCTTGGCAGCCTGAGAGGAATATTCTGACATTTTAAGGAAACACACACACACATGTGCTCTCGAATTGAGAGTTAGACGGAAACATTAATGTTAAACTCATGCATTAAATATATGCCAGCTGTAAAGAATAACTTGGTTTAGCCTAAAGAGAGGGGAACAGTTAACATCACTCTGTTTAAGACAGAAAATCTGCTTTGGATCACCTCTAATGTGCTGTAATTTTAACGTCACATCTTTATATGTCTGCTAAATTTATAACCTTTGAGTGTTTTATACAGGATTAAAATGGGATGAAAACTTTCATCTGGGTATAAGTTTGAAATAACTGGGCTTTATTCCCTTTTTATCATGACATATCCAAGTACTTTTCAAACCCCCAACAGCTTAGCTAGCAACTCCCTAACTTTTTTTTTTTAATGGTTATTATTTAAAGCTACCTCTATGTTTAAGAAAAAAAAAATCCAGGTATATTTTACAGCTGTAACAGATTGGTTTTAATTTATTATTGAATTTTATTAAAGCTAACTTCTTAGTGTTGTTTTTTTGGGGCTAACGTTTTCGCATCAAGGCAAAAGGATTAGCAGGTTTTCAAGTGTCACAGTTAAAACTTTTAGCTTTATTCTGGCCTTAGCCGTGTGTGTGTGTGTGTTGTCGTTGATTAATTTGACAACACTAAACACTAATTTGAGGAGGTTTTTAATTTAAGATTTTTACCCGTTTTTTGGCTGTCCTCAGCATCACACCGGGGGATGTGAGTGCAGTTGGCAATCCTTTGATTCGGGTCCGTGGTGAAGCACCATGGGTAATCTTCCCCATTGGGATTACGGCAGTAGTTCTCCCGCAGGTCTCTGTAACACACACACAAACTACAATTGAAATGATGGAGCCCATCGGACGTGGTTTTGACACATTATCATTTTATTTTTGTTTTTCGAAGGTCCTCGTTGTGGCCCCCTCTGCAGGACACACGAACTCGACGCTACTCACTTGCATCTGAAGTTTTGTGGCAGGAAGGAATGGTTATGGGGGAACTGAGAATCCCAGCGCTGACATGTCACTCCCTCTGGAGTCACATTCATCGTGCCACGGTAATCTGTGCCCGTCCCCTGGAAACAGGATGTTGTTACATTGACATCTGTGTCCTCGCTGGATGTGGATTCTGGCAGAAGAAAAAGAAAGAAAAAAAAAAACAGAAAAACTAACACTGAGTGTATAGTGTAAGAATGATAGTGTAAGAATTTTGCAAAAAAGGGAAGATAGATTCAAAAACTACAGCCAAGGAGGAAGGAGGGAGAGTTGGAGGGAGATAATAATCCCCAGAAGAATGTGTCATGTTTAACCCAGAGACAGATGATCAAAAACAGTAGCACCCCCACCCCACCACTCCACCTCCCCCCCACTGCTCTCTACAGCGATACGAAGCTTTATGTGTATCCATAACACCAGTGCCAGCATTCCTGAATGGAACAACATCTACAACACGCAGTTTCACAGCTAAGAAGTAGCGCACGCTGTCGACAAAACCTGACATATTCGTGACAGTGTCTCTGTCACCGTTTCATTATTCGAATCTTGTTTATTACAAACCCCCGACCGCAGATATCACATCCAGCCGGGTGCAACTTTATCCACTGGAAAACTATTCCAAACATACTCAGATGGAATTCTGCTTTTCGATGAAACTGGAAAAGCAGCGCACGGGGAGCGTGTTCGCCCCATCGGATTTCTGTCTCTGTTTCTTTAGCCTTTGACAAATGAGATTGGAGAAGATGGAGGAGGAAAGTGGATGTTTTGAGGCAGAAACTGGAAGGAGGCGGGTGGAAGAGAGGGATTCTTTGGCTTGATGTAATGCATGCCAGTGTCTGTGTGTGAACTGCGCAGCACAGGTCAGTGGTTTTTATCTTTCTGAGGGCAGGCATTGGAGGGATACACACATCTGGACAAATGCAGATCCTCCGCCCTGCTGTAAATCATAACATGTACTGTAAAGTACGAGTGTGTGTGTGTGTGTGTGTGTGTCTGATAGAGACAAAGAGAGATGCTCTGTGTTTGTTGTGCAGGTCATGGAGATTTCTTTTTGGAACGTTGTTACATAGGAAGTAAAAAAAAAAAAGAATAATTCCCAAAGTGCAACCTCTTTTTGTCATCTAGACTGTGGATTGTTTTTGCATGTTTTTTTTTTTTATCTGTTTGTGGCCATCAGTGAAGCCCTGGAAAGACAGGAAGTGCTCCACAGGGTTTGGAAGACACTCTGAATGAATGGATGAAAGATTATTTGAAGATAGTGAAGATACAAATAAGCAAAGTTTTTTGAATAACTTTATGGAATCAGTGCCAGAGTCTTCTGGGCAGTTAATTTGTTTAATTTTTTCCACAAAATATTCAAGTACTTTTTAGTGCTTTTAAAAGTCATTTTCAAACGTTTCATAACAGTTCATAACAGCACTGCTAGCATCTCAGCTAACCGCTTAGCATTTGTTTTTGTATATTTAAATGTTTTTGTAAAAGCAATAACTTATTTTGGGTTAGTAACCTATGCTAACAATAACATTAGGAATACACACAGGTAGAGATTAAAAATGAAATGGCAGGCCACAAACAATCGTCATACTTATAACAAAAACGGTTGAAAAAGAAAAGGCAGTTCTAGCTAGCATGTTTCCTGATCACATTAACTGATCATTACTTTTTTGCTCCATCTTAAATTCCAGCTCTTCTTATTTACAGTGTGCAATCGTCATAAACAAAATCGGTCAAAACCTTTTACTTGCTTTAGAAATGAAGTTAATTTATCCCCTAAACTTAGACTTAGAATGAACTCACGTCATCTCCTTAAGAATATTTTTAACTATATTTTTAACTTGCCTAGCGTCAGCCTTGTGGCGTTGGTACTTTGTCCAGTTCTCATGTACAGCGAATAGTTCCCACACAAAAATGCTGGCAGTAAATCAAGCAGCTCTCTCACAATTCATTTTTCCAGTTAGTGACACTTTACATTTCATTATGTCCCTTCTGGGCATTTTCAGTTGGCTATTTCATTGATCAGACAACACTCTGACAAGTCGTGCAGCGATCAAACGGCCTTTCTTGACAGGCCGTTCCATCATTTGTTGGTTTGAAGGCATGAAAAGTGTTGATCTTGGTGAGGTTCGTGTCCCACTGTCCTGTTTTACATGCATTAATCAGGACTTTCCCCCCTCTTATCCGTCTCTTGTCCCTCCTTGTCTCCACATGTTGTATATGTCATGATTTTAAAGAACAAACCACTAAAGTGACTATTAGGGGTTTCCAGTGGCCAAGCGAGACATCTCGGTATAGTAGCCTCCATTGTATTCCTCTACTTTATAGCTTCTTCTCATCTGTGAGCGGTCTGAACAAAACACTTCTCGTCCTTTGAAGTCCCTCTCTCCCATTTAAAAACAACCTATTTACTGTCTCTGATTGAGGTAGAGGGATTTGAACCGCCACACATGAGGCACCACATGAAACGTCCATCCAAGTAAACAAATGTCCTATGAGACTCGGCAGGAGACAGGGGAAGCTTTTTTAACTCAACCGACCGCATGAACCCCCAAACCACAGAAGTCCTGCGTGGAGCAAACCCTCTGACGCAGTTAAATCAATGGCTGTTTGTATGAAACCACCAGCTGTCTTTTCTAACACCGAGCAAGGGACTCCCAATGCTACGGCTACTTTAGAATAACATAATGGATTCTAAGTATGTCACATGCCCCGAGCAGCGAGTTCTGAAACGATAAAGGCTCCTCCATCCCTGCTTTCCTTTCTAAAAGGAAAGAGAACTTTCAGCATTTAACAAAAAGTCGTCAAGCTGACGCTATCTTCATTTGAACGGTGTATAAATGTCAATAAAACTAAGCATAAAATCAATAGGATATTGAACTTTGATTATCACATGCTGTTGAACAGAAAGTGAGCAGAGCTTCTACACCAACAGCTCAACACCAATACAGGTATTGGCACCCATAGTTTTCCCAATACAGAAGTCAAAACATAGCTCAGTGATAAACATTTCAGCAGTGCATCGTATATTCGCTGTTAGCAAGTAAATGAAACAGTCTTCTTGCATGGAAAATATGACCAAAAATGGTGTAAAAAGCTCCATATTCCAGTGACAAGATTTTTCCAAAACCTCAAACATACATCTCTTCCACCTTGGAGTGACTACTCGACATACGATCCTACTGTATCTGCTACTGCTACTTAACTAGTCTGGCACAGAGCGTTAGCCTTTAGCAGACAACTGACCACAGCTCACATGTTATTGTACTCTTAAACAGTCCTCTCGGGCAGATACAGTCAATGCGATTCCAAATCATTGGAAAAGAGGGATATTTTTGGTTGAACGGTTCCTGCAGAGCTGAACACATGCTACATTCCATTGTAGTATTTCTTGACAACTATTAACTTCTCAATGTCTGCATATTAGGAATGTGATACTCGTTCATTTCAGCGCACAGCTCCAGCAGACACCCAAACAGAGACGAGGAAACGGTCCAAGTACAACTGTGTATGCATGATCTGGAGGAGAGTGACAGGCGCTGGAAGGTAATTACAAGCGCAGACGGTATATACAATGCATAGGACCTACCACACAAGCTGATGTTGCAGTACTCCCATGGAGTTTTGGGATCTATTGTGTAACACCAAGGGCGGGGACGGTTATCTGGGTTCCTGCAGTAGTTGTCTTTTAAGTCTTTGTCCCGATATCTGGGAGAGTAAAAGTTAGAGTTAAAGTTAGAAATGTTCCTAAAAGTTACCATTGTCAACAAGTACCTTCCATAGTATGGCTCAAATACAACAATGTTTTCTGGTTCTTCAGTAAAAGGCTGCAGATATTTTGGCTACTGATTCGACAAGATAAATTCATACGGTAATTGCTGAATCAAATACTGTCCATGGCCCACTGCTAAACCAGCCCACTTTGCTGTCAGGCTAACATCTATTTAGACAGGTTCTTGAACAGCAACCCAGCCCACTTTGCCAAACTTCCCAAATGGCCAATGGAAAGTAAACAGTTTTGAGGATGTAGTTTGGACAAACTTGCTTGAACTTGGACATGTTGTGGTTTGATTTTGAATGAGACGTGGGTTACATTCTGAGCCAGCTTTGGTTGAAGTTTGTGAGCCACATTCCGCACACATGGTGCTGACTCATTTAGACCTCTACATTCAGTACTCTGACGGTGCTGTTTGTGTGAAATGTCAATGTGTGGTTCTTGATTTTGCTGCTCACTTTTTGGGCTGGAACCGATGTTTGTGCGGCCTCACTGAGTCCCATCGCTGGCACTCCTTGCCACTTTCCGTATAATCCACTTTTCCTCTATAATCCTCCCCGTTGCACTTCATACACACTTCTGTTAACACACACACACATGAACAAACACAAACATTGTGATCATCATAAACTAAATGAATGAAAGTGGCCTGAGTTCAGTCTAGGGATGGTTTTAATGGCCTTACCTTCAGAACACTGTGGAATGCCACACTTCTCAGTTCGGACGTTGGGGTCAGTGGTGAAGCACCACGGACCACCTGATTCGTTGTCAGGATTCCGACAGAAGTTCTCCCTGAGGTCTTGTGTTGGGTGTCTCTCAGGATCATACCTACAAGGGAGCAGACAGACTTTCACTGAACATGTAAACCGATACCACGGGGACTAATTGCACACTTGGCTGCTCTGGTAATATATACAGTGTCGTACCTGCATGTTAGTGCTCTCAGTAGCAAAGCAAATAAATTCCTCCATGAGGAGGTAACGTTCATGCTAAGAATTTGATATGTGACCAGGTTACATTTTAAAAGTCCTGGGATGGCTCGTTGGAGCGATCGTATGCAAACTAAGTCAGCCGTACGCTTCTCATTTCCAGGTTTGCACCTTTCGGGCGATCACCTTACTAATGCCTGTCGTGGCCCAGAGCCGTCATGTGTGAAGCAGCCAGACTCCGTCACAGCACGGTGAGTAGCAACAACACGGAGCAATGCTACGAGCCACTTGACGCAGCCCAAGCAGGTCATTTACTGGCTGCCCTTTGAACACACGTTTAAACCTAATCCCCCTCCGTCAGCCGCCACATTGAGTCAGTGTGAAAAAGCTAACGTAAGGCAGCGGGGAAGAGAACAAAAAAATAAAAAGAAAGAAGAGAAAAACCTGGGCTAAACCAAACATGTGGGGTTTGCAACAATGAGGAACAGCAAGAGAGCCTTGTGCTAAATAGACAGTGTGTGAAATGTGTCTTCTGTCAGGGCGGGATGATGAAAAGCTGGCATGTCAACACCTCCTGATCCGTGTCGACCACATTCCCCCTCCCACCCAGTGAGACAGTGAGGAGAGGAGGAGGAAAGATGTGTATGGTGAAGTGTCTGGTTCAGGAGAAGGGGAGCGAAAATCGATGGAGTGAAAAAAGAAATGTGGGAAATTAGCGTTTAACTGATGAAAAGACAGAGGACCAGAGGAAAAAGAGCGTCCTAACGTCCTTCAATTGGCTTGCTGTTCCTTTTGCTTTACTCCCCTCTGTGCCCTGGGCTTTGTACAAAGCTTCAACACAAATGCACAATAGCATTAAACCCAGGAGTGGAACAAATCTCAGACATCCAACCAGAGCCAATGGAAGACACAGAGAGAGAGAGAGTTTTTAAAGGAGATGGATGGAGAAAATCTTCCAACCGCAGTGTAATTCCTACAAGTGTCAAGATATAACAAGGTTAAGTCTAACACTGACATTGCACTTATGCGTTTAACTAAAAACAAAACACTCCTCCCTCTGCCAGGGCAGCACGTGCCAAAACTCACATCTGTTGTGTGTAACTCTTAACCTTCATTTATTTCCATTGTATTACAGTATCCCTAATTCATTATTGGAAGTTACAAGGTTCCTCGCGTCACAAAAGGAGCATCTGGTCGAGGGTCCGTAAAAGGCCGTGGCATGGGAACAAGTTGAGCATAATGATGTTGTGCTAACAGATGTTGGCCAGTTATTCATCTCGGTGCCAAAGTCTGTTCCCATTGGAGGGCAGGCAGACACACTGAACACATGCTCTGCTCCCTGAACATACTGGCTGGATTTTTGGATAAGGCAAGGATGAAATCTAGACCCGAAGTAACTGCTGTGAAAAAATGTCCAGCAACATGCACCTGGTGGACACGGAGCGAGCGCGGCCATGCTTCAGCGTGACGGGGTCCAAAAGGAATAAAGAATCCAGAGATAAAAGGAGATTCTGCGAATCTCTTCTGGAGGTGCCGTGCGACAGCTAACATCTGAGAGCTGCAAAAGTGTCCCGTCTTGTTAGAGGTTTGATGAAGAGATCAAGAGCGTTCTAACTTCTTTAACTTAGCTCTAAGTTTAAAGCTGCAGTTTGGAGGTTTTCTTGATCCAAAAGTACCTCAAAGGTCTCTCGCATCAGTATGGCATGAGTAATCAATGACACATCGTCTTGTCTTTGAGTAATGGGAGCCTCAAGGTCGTCCAAACTACCTCATAATTCACCTTTAAACAGTTTAGTGCAACACAAACGCCAGAACTTTTATTCTTTCTGATGAGTGGGATTAACTGACCGTTAGTGGAAACATCCGTGTTAATGGCTTGTTTATATTATCATGATATATATATTAGATGTCTGTCTGCATCTCGCAAGTGTGTGGGGGTTTTTTTCTTAGTAATATATCCACCAGGGGGAAGAGTAAGTCCTGGCTGACTTGGCTATGATCTAGTATTCAACATTGTTGAGTTAAGGTTTGATACTTACAGTAATGCTAATGTCCCCCTAATGACCCTAGGGGCCCAATGCTAAGGGTTTGCTAAGTCAGTGCTAAGAGTTAGCAAAAACAATGCCAGATATTCCCTTTCTTGCAGAACTTTGGCCCAAATTGGACTTTTTGAAAGTACAATCCTGAATCTGTTCTGTATAGATGACATCATCGTCTGAGCATAGAAGCTAACAGTACAACTGCAGAATTAAAAAAAAAAAATCAACTGATAAGGGGTTACTCAATGGTACTGTACAGTGGATGCCCTTCCTGAACTAATCTCGTGGGACTTTTAATAAGGGCAATGCTACAGAAAAACTGAATGGTATTAAAAAAGAATGGCAACAAAAAAAAATCTTTCGAAAATTAATACATTTGATAACCTATGAGGCTGTTTTAAATAGCGGTCTGTGTGCAGTTTCAGCACAGTCACATGCAATGGCATGGTTTTCAAAGCGATAGAATTTCACATTTGCTTTTTTGCTGCTGTCCTCCTGACTGAACTGGTTGCCACACTTTTGGCGGAAGCATTTTTAGTTTGTTCTGATGAGGAATCTTTCAGATGATATGCAGTGATGCAGATCAAATGAAGCCCAAACAAACCTAGTATCTCTGCAAAAACATCAGTTTCTAATCCAAATGTTGAACTTTCCGCAACAGCAGCTGCACTGGCGTGTGTCTGCAGCAGACCTCCCGGTGGAACAGAGTCTTTGAAGTTATCTATTATTATTAATGCAAATAGCAGTGTTTGACTTCTTTCTTCTTGGCCAGGCATCAGTACACAGGTTTTTACAGCCTTGTTTTAACATTGTCAACAAGTGAAAGTCTTACTTCCTGGTAGAGAACCTCCTGAGAAATCAGCCCTGACCCACGACGATCGCTGAAGCATTAAAATAAAGTTACCTGAAACTCCAATTGGCCCCTGGTTTGTTACAGTGGTAATTATCGGTGAGTCAGTCGTATGTAAGGTAAAACAACTGCGGCACTGGTGTTTGATGAGGCTCGGTGACATTACACCGACCCTATGGTACAAACTACCTTATTTTCCTGAGTATAAGTCGCAATAGCTAGGTAGAGTGCCCTCTAGTGGCTGTCAGTATGAAAAAACAAACGTGAAATTATATATTTTAATATACACATCTGACCTCAGTATAAGTAGCAAATCCAGCCAAAGGACGAATGAAAAAAAGTGTGACTTATAGTCCGGAAATACGGTATACGCAAAGATTTCCCTTCTTTTATGAGACCTTTAATCCTTATATTTCAATTGAAAAATGCAGGTGACATCATGCACAAAATGATTTGTTCCATGATTTGGTGAAAAAGACAAGCAGAACACAGGCCAAGGAGGCTAAAATGGTAATGTTCTGCTCCCTGCACATGTCAATAATCACTGATGTTCTTCATTTGGTTGGACCCTCTGGAAGTATTTTCTGATGGAATGAGGACTTTGACTTAGAACCACCTGAACTTTGAAGCACATGTTCTCATGAGAACAAGACTGTATTTCTGACACACACCTAAATTATTAGAAGAATGCCGTTCCCACTGTTTAACAGTGGTGACTGTGTCATCCTCCTGAGATGTTTTCCCCACTCCTAGAACAGGAGTTTTTGACAGTATGGTGGAAAATACACAAAGGTGAGCCAAAATGTTAGAGATAAATGAAAAAAAAAAGTCATTATGAAAATAACAAGGCTAACTCCCTACATGTCGTGTCAACACTTCTTCAAGGGATGTTACCATCAGAGAATTCTGGGAGATGTCTTTCACACCAGGTCAAATGGACTTAGAGCCAGATCTCTCTAATGTTCTTTCAGTTTTGGGAAAGGACAACAAAAATGAACAAGGTCCAATTTTTTTTTCTTTTGGAAAGCTTCAAGAATTTTATAAGGTTTTTAGTTTTTAGGGTTGCAAAAACATGATCAACACTTTAAAAAGCTGCGAAAATAAAATGCCTAAGAGACATGTCTTGACATGCTTTAGTGATTAACACCTTTGAAGTTACGTAAGAGTTAGACTTTTTGACCAGTGACCTAGTATTTTGAAAGAATTTGACAGATAATTATGGTTTTTAAATTTTAAAATTGCCTGGACAAGAGGTCGGCAACCTTTGATTTATGAGCTTTCTTTGTGTACTGTCGATTTACATTGAGTTTTATTTGCAGTTAAACTAATAAAAACGGCTCTTTTACTGTTGAAGGTTCAAGACCTCTGACATAGACCATACATCCATACATTTACATATGGTAAGGTTCAAGACCTCTGACATAGACCATGCATCCTTTTACATATGAAGGTTTCTACCATAGAGAACACACTCTCTCTCATACACACACACACTTCAGATGTCATCACTTTGTCTGGCAAAACTCAGCGCATCATTTGAACAAAATACTGTAGCTATATCACAGCGCACATCTTTAATTAATAATATTTTATGTTCAAAAGATCTCAATTTATTGTCTCTATTTTACTGTACAGTTTATTAGCAGCTTTTTTCTACTCAGTGATTTTCTCTTTCCTTTTAGTGGCTGCAACATGTCAGTTTCCCCAGTGAGAGAGAAATTAAGTATAATCTAATGTAATCAAATCTACTTTAATACAACCTAATAAAATCCAATCTAATGTAATCCAATTTAACATAATCTAAAATAATGTAATTCAATCTAACATAATCCAATTTTTTTTAATTCAATGTAATCCAATATAACATAATCCAACCTAATGTAATCTAATGTAATCTTATCTAATCTAAGTAATTCACATTTTGGTAAACCAATCTAACATAATCCAGACTTTTGTTATCCAACCTAATTGAATCCAATCTAACGTAATCAATTTTTTATTCCAATGTAATCCACTATAACATAATCCAATCTAATGTAATCCAATGTAATGTAATCCAAGATAATGTAATCCAATGAAATCCAATCTAATGTAATTCAACCCAACATAATCCTAATGTAATCTAATCCAATCTAATCTAATCCATTCAAATCTGAAAAGAATATGCCTGTGTCACTTTATAAGTCAGAGTGAGTAAAGACATGAAATGTGCTGTGTTGAGTCACTGCTCTTCCAACACAGACCGGCTGCTATAATCAAACCGTGCTGTGAATGTAACACATACTCTAACATACGAATGGGTTCTATTTATTTTACATACAGCATGTGCCATCGTAGATAGAAACAGCTCTAATTAAACATTCCTGGTGTCACTGCTGTACGCAGTGCAAAGCCGACATGTTCAGAGAGATGGTGTAGACTCCGTATATCAACTCTTTGTCCAATAAAGATTGACCGAAGACCCCTGGCGTGAACTACTGCCCCAGAAAAGAGGGCAGAAAACAGGGCTCGGGCTTCAGCAGCCTGCACCAACAGGATGCAGCCGAGTGCTTCTCTCTGGGAGACGAGTGAAGTTGTGTTTCCGCTCAGTGTATCTGTGGCTTTGTTCGCTCAGCTGGACTACAGACAGAACATGACTTCAGTCCATAAATCTCTGCTCTCTCTCTCCCTCTCCCTCCATCTTCCTTCTGTACTTCTTCAAACTCGTCATTATTCTGTCTGTGGACCCCCCCCTCACCCCCTCTCTCCAGTGCACGTTACAGCACTCAACATATCTGGTAATTAATAAGTATTACTAATGAGCTGCTGGCACAGAACCACAGAACCACGTCCCTCTGTTCCAGCAGTGGAAAAACACACAGATCTTTTACACCTGATGACCTGTAGTGCCACAAAAAAGAGGGGGCTCACAGGGGAGGACATCCCCGCATGTGTTGAAAGAAATCTGACTTAACTCTGGATAAACGTTCAACCGTCCCACAGCCTCCTCCTCCACCTCCTCCACCTCCTCCTACCTCTCCTTCCCTTAACCCCTGAGGTGCAAGGGGATGATTTGAACATCAGTAAATCAGCTGCCGGGGCCTGTTCTATATCAGAGACAGAGAAATAAAGAAGGAGCATCCACAGGAAGCCGGTGGAGGCCCAAGGATTTGGGATGCTGGCTTTGATTGCTGCAGTAATGCGGCCAGAGGGAAACGAATAATTAACACCTCCTCGTTTTCATACCACAGTCCAGGGCAGGTACGGCCAACAGCTGCCCAGGGGCCTGTGGTGGTCCAGATAGCGCTTGCCTTTTTGACCCCAACATCTTTGGTAATGTGCAACCCTCAGATCTGCCTCGTGATACGTTAGTTAAATTGTAGCTTTTTTTTTTATCTAACTGTCGACATCTGTGGTATTATTTCAGTATATTTTGAGACTAAGTTTTTACCTGACTTTAGACCCGTCGACTGGACCAACTTTTTGCCTTTTATTTCTTTATATTTTTGCCCAAATTACCTTTTAGCATATTTTAACCTATACTTTGTTTGAAGGGTTTTTCTTTGGCCTTTTCAATTTAACATTTCTGGTCACAGTTAAATTATTATTTTGACACCTTTGCCATCTCTCTCAAACTTTTGCCTGTTCTGTGTTCTCAAACAGCTCCATTAAAGTGAACTTTGCGAAGTTTCTTTTTACAGTAACTTTTAACTCCTTTTGCTTTATTTTGTTGACTAAAATTTTACTCATTTTCAATAAGTGTAAGTCCTAAAATACCTGTTAGCTAACCTTAGTGTTTTAGTTGACTTTTAGCCATTATTGCTATACATTTGGCTAATTTTCTTTTCTTTGTCCATTGTCTGGGGTCAAATTTTAACCCAAACCTTACACCTTTCTTTGTATTTTTTTTTATCTAGATTTTAGCCATTGCAGAATATATCTTCACATATTGTCGGCTAACCTGAGATAATACTGAAGCGTCTAAATGTCCTTTAGTGAAACAAGGCCAAACCTTTGGGAGTAATTTGGTTTTAGAGAATCACTCCTCCATCTTTCTGTCCATTTCTTGGCCATTAATGATAGGATTATTTTCTTCCCTTAATTTCTCTTCGTCTTCCAGTTCGGTAATGACGTATAAAGAATCTCCAGAACTAAGTAGGACAAATAGCACCTAATATGACACTTAAATGCAGTACTGCAGTTGCTCCTCAAGTATTCCCACTTCATCAGAATGTAAACCAATTCTGGAATTGTTCAATTGTGACAGTTTTATAGACGAGCTCTCATTAAAATACACTTTTCAAGTTAGAGCGGAGGCCACCGACCTGTGTTCATTGATGTTATTATCTGCCCAGGCCTGGCATGTGATGTTAGACTTGGTCCAGGACCTCCTTCCTCTGTAGTCCAGAGTGTCGCTGATACACTCCCGTATATAATCTAAGAAAAGGAAGGAAAAAAAACAAAACAAAACATTAAAAGTGTTTGATATCTTCCATTCATGTTTGGACTCGAACACAAACAGTTCCCGTCTACTCTGCCCGTGCCAATTTACACAGCTTTTCATAAATTCAAACATTGACAGACTCAAGGCCTTGACCACCTGCATGTTATTTTCCATGTATGGTCAATATGACTTTTAACAGCTCGCCTCCTGCTCTGCATGTTGTTCTCCAAAACAGACTCCCCTAAGTTCATTAGATGTCACCGCGGGGCGAGATTTACGTATATTTGGCAGTACATTCTAAAGTACCAGATTCCACATCCTGTGCTCGAGGAGGCGTTTACGCTCCGAACGACTGTAAACAATGATTTTTCTTTTTGTTTACACCCCGCTTGAATCCGAGGCATGTTTATTCATGCGACTGAGCCCGGTTGGAGTGATTACACAGCAACAGGGTGCGGAGCTCAGCCCGATTTTTTTTTTTATTGTGACAACACCAGAAAACGCAGAACCTGCAATCACGGACGGACTAGCTGCACTTGAAGGTTCTCATGAGAAAAACAACACACTTATTGAGTTCAGGAGAATCACCTTTTTTTTCATACAGAGTAAAGTTGACGTTGGCCTGCTTCTTCACGCCACGGGTGAAACGGTCGAAGGGAAGTAAGTGGCATTTCCTGTTGTGCCTGTGGAAGTTGAAGGCCCTGCAAAAAAATGTTACGGGAAATAGTTAGGAGATGACTCCTGATAAAGTGGATAAACAGCCAAAATATGTAAATACCGCGAGGAGAGGAGATGTGGGAGGCCATTAAAAATGTCAAGAGGAGGGTGAGGGGGTGGAGAAATGTTTGTCTTTCTCTCACCTGCAGCTGAAGTTTCTCTTCACTTTGCACTTGCGAGCGCAGTGCTCCTGCGATCGGCTCTTTAGTACCACGGGACTCTGAGGACAGTCTGTGCAGACCAGCATGCGTTTCTCTGTCTTCTCGTATCTCTGTAACATCTGATGACTTTTTTTACAGTAGCCTGCCAAAGGACAAGGACAGTAAACGTCAGTAAACTAGAATTAGAAGCATTAGAATTAAATGTTTAAGCACAGATGCTCAAAAAAAGACTTCTGTTAACGTTAGACAGAAACAGCGCATCGTCATCAACATATGTTTGAACATAACATGACTCAATTACCAGAATACATATAACTGTCCTGTTGAAATGACCTCTAACAATCCTTAATTATCTTTCTTGGCACATTAAACATTTCATTTCAGAAAAAAAAAATGTTTCAACATTTCAAAAAAAGTCAAAGCGGACTATAAGTTGCAATTTTTTTCCATCTTTGGCTGGGTTTGCGACTTACACTCAGGTGTAACTTATATATTAACATATACAATTTCACGTTTGTTATTTTCAAGCTATATATATTAACATATACAATTTCACGTTCACGTCAAAGTGGGATAACCTTTAATGATGATATATTTTGTTTAAACATTTTTGTTTAATTGGACATTTCTGGGACTTCCAGTTATATATGCTACTATAGTTGACTTGGGTTAATACGCACTATGATTTTACTTATTAACGGCTATGTTTTTTTTTAAAGAAGGGATATTACAGGTTTGTTTCCAGCACTATTAATAAATGATTATTTTAAATATTTAAACTTGGCCTCTCTTAACCAAAATAAAAAAAACTTTGGACATGCCAAATGTACGACCTTGTTCACTAGGGTCCTAAAATCCTACAGACTTAAACATATTTGGACTAAAAATATGTGTTTGTTTTTTTGGCACGTGGGAATAAAGGAAAGCATTTCACTGCGAGATGTTTTGTGAGATGTTTGATGAAAGCATCCTTCATCTCCAGTTTGCTTGAGGCTTGTTGGCTTGTTCAAATCTGCAAACATCCCACAGCTCCTGACAGAAGTTCTCCGCAGGTTCCAGCTGTTTTAGCCATACTGAGGTGAAGGACTGGTTTATGTACCAGTAAAAGTTAGAGAAACGAGTCCTGGCGCTCGTGCGTTAACTCAGAGTTGTAGCAGTCTGAGAAATGCAAAGTGGGTGCTGAACTCTAGAGTGAAGCCAAGGAAACGAAGTCGTCTGTCCAATAGACAGACATTCTGCAGTGCTGCATATCTCACTCATCACATCTCACATTTATTCTACTGATTTCACAAAAGTGTCAAATTCCGTTTAGTCTATTTTTGCTAAACTGTTTTAATCATCTTCTTGGCCAACTCGATGCTAATTCTAAGTTTGATTTAGTTCTCTTTTTCTAAGACATGTCTACAATTTTTTTCCTATTTTATTAGCTTAGTGCAAGGGCTGATATTTTAGCTTTAGCATGGCAGCTAACCGCAAATCTTTCTTGGCTACCTTTCTGGAAATGAGCTAACTTTAGCAGTGTCTAGCTACACTCTTAAAAAATGCTATTTTGTATACTACTGGCCAACATTCAGCTACTTTGGGAGTAAACATTGCCTAAAATTAGCTGTTTTTGCCGCATTTTAGCTAGCCACTACAGCAGTTACTAAACAGCAAAAATTTCAGCAGTGCTAACAACATTATCTATTTAAGTTCCTCTCTGAGATTTTAATTTTTCTTTAGCCTTTAATTCACTTTAAGTGAAGTACTGGCTAACTTTTAGTTCCCTTTTCATGTCTTTTTGGCCAACTTAAGGCAATTTCCAGACTCCGGTTTAGATTCCTCTTTTTCCCTTGTGTCATCTGACTCGGGATGAACCAGGGCGACATTTATTTTCTTCTCATTTCCAACAATAAGACTGACTTTATGTTTTTGTAATAAACTAAATAAGATAGAAGCCATGTTACTGCTTTCTTGGAAATGTAGTTGTTTCCACAGAGTAAAACTTTTTATGCGTCTGCTTTATGTACAGTTCCTGAGCCATTGGCATCTGTAGAAAAGTGCAAAACTGTCAAGGTGCAAATGGACGTGGTATAAGTCATTCTTGATTCATTTTTAAGCCTTTGTTGAGGAGTATTTCTTTTTTTGGGGGGGCCGAGGGGAGCGCTGGGAGGTACATCAAAAGAGAATTATATCGTAGCGTTTAATGTATGAGAGAAGCAAGTGGGTTCAAAAGCAGGACAAAACCATTATTTACATCTAAATCCTCCTGTGATACAAATCATTCATATTACCAACTGGAATAAGTTAAAAGCCCATCCTTCAGCCGAGACGTGGGGTGAACGCTGAGTTTCGGAGGGCCACGGCCAGACACTTCACACCCACTTTGAGATTAGTTACAATAGATTTCCGTTTATAATTAGCAGCAAGTGCGAAATAAATCACGCCGGGAAATCTGAAGCTACTGGGTTACAGCACCGCGCCGCCGTGCCAAGATCCGACACAAGGCGCTGTGTGTGTACTTAAGATACTGTAAACTGCGGAGCAGTTTGGAGGCTCCTCCTGGTCAAAAATGTTTTTTTGGGGAGGACATGTTATTAATGTTTGGGCTGGAGTGGACCACATCTGGCACTCATCACCATGTTGTTCCAGCCCTGATGTCTGGCCAGGCAGCTCAATTAGATTTCACTTAGTCTCTTCCTCTCATCACAGTCGGACCGTGCTGCTATCTCCAAAAAACCTCCAGAGCTGGGGATCGTGATAGAAGGTGCTCCTCATTGGATGGGAATGAGAAATGTGACATTTAATGAGCACAGGCAGGAACCAGCAGAGGACCAGATATGAGCCAGAGACGTGGAGAGGTGAGGACTCCGGAGTCTCCTCAGGCACTTCCACTCTGGCACTCAAAGGAGAAAATCTCCTAATTGTCTGCTGGATAAGTGGTTGAGTTACAAACTGTCAAAGCAACGCATCATTGAAAATGTAAAGTGTGTAGGGACACACATAAAACATCCAGTGTTACATTTTTACAGGGTCATTAGGAGTGAATGATGGTGAGTTCATCTGCTGCAGTGCTGCCCCCTGTCTGTATTTTTTAGCAAATGGTTGGGACATTTTAAGAGCTGGATTTTCCTATGTTTATTTTTTTCCCCCCACAATTGTTACTATTTTGACTGACGTCGAAGTGCATTGACTTGTACTGTGTATTTCTATGGTTTGCCTGTTTTATTTTTGACGATATTTGACTTTTGTTTCATCATATGTGTAAACTTTTTAATCAAATTCGTGGTGAACTTTTTGCTTTTTTTGCTGGTTATTGATACATTTTAGTTCTTGCGTTAAAATGAAATATATTTGATCCGCCAGGAAACAAACACAGCATACTTTGCAAATCTCCAGTAGGTGGCAGCAATGACACTTCAAGGATGCCCTTTGCTTCTATTTAAAAGTAGATGCAAAGATTTAATAGAGGGCACTGTCAGCTTATAGCCTAACAATGTCTATGGCATTGGGATGTGATTTTTCATTACACGGTTGTCGGTTTGAAACCCGGTCGCAGAGAACAAAAGTTGTGTTGTCTATCAATATTCACACTGTGACCGATCTGTACAGTGACGACAAGACTCCTAACACACAAACCACAAATATAAAAAACATATGACCTTCAAATGACCTTAATCACGTGGCTCAAAATACACAGGAGGTTTAACTGAAATGACTCAAACATACAACAACCAGTGGTCAGTAGTCAAGTGTCTGTGAGGCGACACTGCCTTCCCTCACACTATTGCGGCTGCCTTTTATTTGTTGCACTGACCTCTATTGAGTTACACCGCCGCCCCCTGCTGGTCAATTAAAAAAAACTGAATTCACATTTTCATCCTGAAAACCTCAGCTATTACAGAAGTGGAAAACATCCTTAAATGATTTATCATCCATTGGTTTTACGTATGTTTGGAAAATGTTTTTAATTTTAAATGTTCACAAGATTCGTCAGAATAAGTGTAAGTCGTGTATGAGACGAAGGACAGGGATGTAGCAGTTTGAAAAATGCAGACATTACGTCTGTTTGAGAGAGCGCACAATGTGGAAGTGAAGCAGCCAGATGTTCCTCCACCTCACTCCATGTACACACACACACGTGCACGGCGCACGTGCACGCACATACGCAAACACCTTTACTACCCCTCTCTGGAGGAACAAACGCATGTAAATACAGACTCAGTCTCCAGCTTTGGCGCATTTGGACTCGGTCGTGTGTGCGCCCTGAGGCGCGCCATAACTTTACAACATTACAACACTACACTCCGTGCATTCTCACAGTTACTATCCTGGTTTTAACTGACATTACTGACATGAACATCACCCAAACAAACAGTTTAGGTGATGTTAAACAGTAACGACAAAGCAGTTGAACTTCAAACCATGCGCTTTTGGCGCCACGCCACACTTGGCACCTCCAGAGGGCCAGGACGACACGGTGTGGATTCGTTTGGTGTCGTTGCATAAAACAATTTTAAAGCATTAAAAAACATACGTTACGAGCACGTGGAACGTTGCCCAATGGTTATGCTGAAGTGTCAGCCTCGGTGGCCCACATGGACAGATAATGGAAACGCTCGTGTAATATACTGTATATTCAACCGGAAGTCACAGTGTGAGCCTTTAGGTTCGTTAACACTGTATGGTTTCCACAGAGAAAACAGCCCTGAGCGGAGTCAATTACACAATTCTAAAAATAATTACTCGCACAAATCAAGTGCAGCGGCTTGATGCAGGATGGAACTTGTGACAGAAAGTTACGTATCACCGTACTTCAATTCAAAACTCATTTTTACATAAAAAGAAATCATTAAAACTTTATTTTTTAAAAATCAGATTTCATTTCAATTATTTATTTCAACGATATATTTACAAATTTAGCAAACAAGAAAAAAAAAACCCAACTGTGACAATTATCCAGTCTGATATTAAAATGTACCAAACTGTATAGTTAAGTCTAATTTGGATGAATCCTACTCACCTGTGTCCAGGACACTGACCACAGCACAGAGCAGAGCCTGGTAAATCCATACGTTTGTCCTCATGGTTAGAGTGTGCCGCAGCTTGGATGCAGGTAAATAAAATAAGAATATTAAAAATCCGGGTGCGTGTAGTGACAGAGTCGGTGTCTGTGTGGAAGTGAAGTCCCGGTTGTGGCTGATGAGCAGAGCGAGACTCGTCCTCTTCACTTCAGATGCCACTTTTCCAAGAAAACCGCACGTCCTCGGTTCAACCCCCTTTTACTAGACTTCACTCTGTCAGCGGCTCTCCCCACTGCCGTCAAGCTAACTGTGGCCCGAATACGTCAAACTTCCGGTTTGACAAAATAACAGCGGATGTAACTGGTGATATAGTTTTACGGGCTTGTGACGAATTTAAAAAATAAAAAATAAAACAGTAAACAAAAGAAAAAAATGTTGGGTTATTTTGCTTCTATTGAATAAATGCAACAGATATTAATGTTTGTGCTAAAAAAAAAGTACTTGAACGTTTTAACAAAGCAACTACAGTTCACTTAAAGGGTAAAGTATACATACAACAATGGAGGTAACTAGTGGTGTCAATGTATTTTCTTTTTTCCATCAAGAAATAAAACGTATTTCCATTTAAAAAAAATTTAAAATATGATTTCTTTTTTGTCATTTTTTTTAGAATAAAAATAGAACAACTAGATGTGTATTCTGGTGTCTTGAATTGGTTAGATTTTTTTTTTTTTTTTTTGAAAAATAGGACAACTAGAAGTGTATGCTTATGTCTTGAATTGTTTAGGAAAGGAAAGTTTGTAATTAGACATGTAACCAAGAATAATAAACAAAACACAAATAAAAATATAGATTATAACTAAACACACGAGTATGTGGCAGCAATTATTTTGAAGGACGCAAGCTGTAAAAAAAAAAGAAGAAAAAATGTATATAAACTCACATGTATATCTGCAGCTTTTCCTTCTGTTTTCACAGGGAAGCCCAACAAATCCTTTATTCCGGAGGCCACGGGCAGCTACGTTCGTATTGACCCAAACTCAAAGGAATTAGCATATTTCTCAGCTATAGGAATGTAGATTTAAATGAGATTAAACCGGTCACCCAGCCAGAATAATCCAACAAGGGAAGAATAAGCCAAATAGTGGCTTGTTTGTTCATTCCCACCTCGTCCCCCTCCATTGATGGAAGCTTAATAATGAATATCAAAGTAGCTGTGTGCTTTTATTTTGAAAGACTGCAGCCCTGACTTAAAAAAAATAGTAGTAGCATGTTTGAAGAAGACAGTGGTTATCAAGGGGGTTTATGGGCTGTAAAGAAGGACTTTGTCAATCTTTAAAAAGTCATTTATAGTTCAGCTATAAATAGTTAAGGCCTGGAAAACTGGCTGTTAACGCTCCAAGGCTTTTAAAACATGTGCTTTTACACATTTCCAGTTGGTGACAGCACCATGAATGAAGTAACACTGTTTTATACCTTGGTTATGTTTGCTGGTCATCACCGGAGCCAGAACCTCCGTCTCTCTCTCCCCTCACTCCTCCACTCACTTAATCACTCACTCACTCACTCACTTTGGCTTGGCTGAACGAGGCAGATGGGATTCTTTATATTGAGGGCCAAAGAGCTGGGAGGAAAGTAGTGATTGCATCCTCAGTGGACCAGCCAGTTGCAAAACACCAAGTCCAGGTCCAGACCCGGTGCAGAAACATAAATCATAACCAAAAGCGAGCTGAAAATAGCCATCGAAAGGGTCCTCAAGCGAGGAGCTGTAACTGCGCTACTTCTTGATGAGACTGATCTGCTGCCAGGCGCGTCGGCCGACACGCAGCGCTCTGTGTTAGGACAGAGCTGTCAGTGGTAACATGCACATTAAGTATTTTTAGTATTTTCCTGTAACCTTTTTGTAACTAAAGTGTCCAGTGATGTTAGTGATCAAACCGAGGCGCTTGACTGGAGTTGAATAATCGTGCCGCGGTGCCACATGTGAAACCACATCACTGCTCTTTAGGCAGTGGAGAGGCTCGACAGGGTCACATGTTCTCATGAAAGACTAGTCCTGAAAAAAAATTGAAAACATCCAATGAAGGGCCCCGGGGAAATAAGTTTGTGCTGCTTTTCAAACATTCCTCCAGAGACGAGAAATATGGAGGGCAGAACAGTGCCAGGCGTCTATTAATGGTCAATTCCAATGCCATGTTACAGAGAAGTCACATGTACACAACGACTGCTTGGAAAGAATCGAGGTTTCCCAAACTAAATCAAGGGGTCAAGACCAAAAAATGTGGAAAATGAATAAGGTTCAACTCTTATTCTGCTCATACTTGTGAGAAAAGTACGACTGGTAAATGGATCCGAACTGTATGTCTATATTCTAAAGTTAAAAAAAAAAAAAAAATTCTGCATTCTCCCTAAATGCGGTTGGTAGTTTGGGGGTGAGTGCTGTGTGACATATATTATGTACTACTGGGTGTAATTACTAAAAATGACAAGCAATAGCAACAATGGAGTTTGACCCAACTTGTAGCAATTTTGTAACGTTAATGGCAGAAGCTTTAGCATTAGCTAAACCCATTCAATTTATTAGAATATGTTATTAGGTGTTTTATATAAATATAAAATTAGAAATATACAAAAATATATAAAAATATATATCTATTTTACATGTACACACACACACATTTATATACGTATATATGCATATTTACATTTACATATGACTATCATGAAAGTAAAAGAAGCTTTTATCAACCAGGCTGATCAAATGCCATGATTGGCCCCGGGCCCAGAATACTGGCCAATCACAACATTTGAACAGACCGGCTGGAACAGGTTTTGTGTGAACAGAAATGTCTTTCATACTGTTTATTTTTTATGGCCCATCATCAGGATTAATGAATTATAGTTCGAGGGCATGGCTTGGCTCGGTTTCTGTTTCTTTTTGTAATTTACAGTATGTTAACGAAGCTGTTTGAGAAGTATCTTTTAGCTAGCTGTGGTAGCATTCAGTCACTTCTAGGATAACTTTGTTATATTTAGACTTATTTTTCTATTTATTGCATCGAAGGAGAAGCAATTGTCGCTCAATTAGTTTACCTTATTTTCACCAATCTGGTCAATGTTACAGCTTGTTAATTTTATAACTCTCGTAATCACGTTTTCTTTTAGCCAATTTCCACACTTGTAATTTCTTATACTTTTTTTCTAGCATTTTTTTTGGGTTAATATTTAATTTTGTCTAATTAATTCTAAGCTAACTTCTAGCTACCATTCATGCTAACTCAATCAAGTCTTTCTTATTCCATATTGACCTTAGCAGAGTTCTACTGGGGACCCAGATTAAGTCAATGTGTGGGCCAGATTTCAGCCTGGTTCCCTATATTACCCACAGTATGGTACTACTGGAACAAACTACAGTAGTGTAGTCGTTATTAGAGAACCGTTAGAGTGACCGTTTGAGTTTTTAAAGTACCATAAAGGTAGAAAGTTCACTATTAATGAAATTTTAAGCACCACAGATGAAGTATACGTTCCTACCGGGACGGCGTAACATATGAAAAGTGTGTATGTAAGGGGCAGCTGGAAGTGATCCAATTTAGGTACCAGCGTCCAGGACTTTTGTTGGGCCCTAACCCTTATTTGACAGGAAATCCACACTTGAGCCGTTAACGGGGCGGCTGACTTAAAGCCCTCCTGAGAGCGGCAGCAGCAGGGGGAAGAAATGGTTTGAGGTAAAATGCCAGACACACAAGCCTCACTCATTAAGACGTGTGGAGGTCATTTAACTTTTCTTTTTGTACCTTTGCCTCCCTTTGGTCTGCACACGTGTGCGGACGTGTGTGTGTGTGTTTGCCCGGAGAAGTACCAGCAGGTGTAAAAGAGTGTGTGTGAGCGTTAGGGGGGCTGCAAACAGGAGGCTCTCTGCCTTGGCAGCAGGCACCATGCACCTTACACACACACACACACACACACACACACACACACACCACATCTCGGCCGCAACGTCAATCAGTGTCAGCGAAAAGAAGAAATCCAGACTCCTAAAAACGTGTCTCAGAGCACATTTTTGTCGATTGGTCCCTTTTGAACTGCAGCTACAGACCTGGTCCCAAGTGCGTCACAAGCGTCAGGTAAAAAAGTTATGTTTGACAGCTGATCATGAGCTGGGGGTGCGGAGGGATGGGGGAGCGGGGAGGGGGATCAAGGAAGTGGGAGAGCTCGCGCAAAGAGCGACCAAAGCAATGGGAGTATTAATTTCCAGGATTTATGTGTTCACTCACAGCCTCGGGCCGACTTGTTACCGACTCCAAACTGTCATTCACTCCCTACAGTAGAGAACAATGGTAGGACATGGGAAGTTTGGGAGTGCTGTGATGTCTAACAAAACAGACAAAGAACTTCACTTAAATATAAAGCTTAAGATGTAATCAGAATGACTGCCGAGTCTCGCAGCGGCTAATCACACGCTACCACGTCCAATCAGATATTAGAGGTATTTTAAGAGGTAATGTGTGATCACTTGTTACAAATTCCAGCAGTGGCGTCTCGTCCCCGAGGCTGCCGAGCGCTAATGTTTAGCGATTGTGAGCTGACTCTGCTTCTGATAATTGAGCCTGGGTCTGGTCACGTTTTTTCACAGGTACAGTAACAGCGATCGAGTGATGAAGAAATGGGAAATGAATGTGCTTTTATTGAGAAACTCCGTCTATGGGCAGAGATAATAAAGGAAGGAGTTAGTAGAAAAAGTTGTAGCAAAAAATGTATCAAAATTTTGTAAATAAAAAAAAATTACGATAAATTATTCAAAATATGTGAAAGTTTGCCAGATGTTAGCTCAGCTATTAGCTCCGAGTAAAAAACTGGCAGGACAAATCAGAAAGCAATTTTAATAAAAAAAAAAGCAGCTCAGCCTGCATGTGCCCTACACCAGATATGGGTCACTGCATACCAGACGCCACAACCAATTACCCTAGAGGGGCTCAGAATACTTTCTGTATTTGATTTTTGGGCAAGATCAAATCTGTAATTTGTAATCTGTAATTTAAGTCGAAGAAAGATGATGGTTTTAAATGGTACATTCAGAGGGTCCTCGGTGTACGACGTCCTCGTCTTACGTCGTTTCGCCGTTACATCACCATCTCCCATAAATTTGTTAAGAAAGTCTTGTTTCATCATTCCGACATACGACGTTAAAACAAGTTACGCATGGGAACTAGTTGGCAAATGGAGTGGACTAATACTTCGTTACGCTGATGACGTCTTTGTTTACAAGGGAAAAGGCTGAAGTATAATGATAATATACATAAATTATATAATCTGGAAAAGTTTGGCGGGCCGGATTAAAACGCTGAACGGGCCGCATCCGGCC